TCACAACATTAATACTTCGTATAGCCCTACATTCTGCCAAAGTTTGAAGGAATTTGAATTTTCTCATTTTACACTTCTTACCTGACTTTCTCATTTTACACTTCTTACCTGACTACACTTCTTATCTGTTATATTGTTTGTTAAAAATTGTGAATATCGATCCAAATAAAATTTGTTAAATTAAATTAAATTAAATTAAATTAAATTAAATTAAATTAAATTAAATTAAATTAAATTAAATTAAATTAAATTAAATTAAATTAAATTAAATTAAATTAAATTAAATTAAATTAAATTAAATTAAATTAAATTAAATTAAACATTATTACGTACTAGTATGTTCGATGCTGCATGTTTACATATAAACGAGTACGTTTATGACATACCACAATATATAAGAGAAAGTAAATCGATTTCATGTTTTAAAAGAAAAAACCGGCCTGAAGTTGTAGCTCAGTGGTAGAGCGTCGATCTAGTAACTCGAAAGTCGAGGGTTCGAAGCCCATGAGCCGCGGCACGCGAAGTTTTCTGGCTGTGGGCTGTCTTGGTTTTTGTTGTTGTTTTGTCATTATTATTATTATTGCATGTTAATAAAATACAGATATTGCAACATACGTTGAATTACATCAGGTAACACAGTTTTTAAAAAATGATATAAGTACAAATGTAAAATTATATTAAATACTCTACGGATATATATTTAAATATATGATACTAAAACTATTTATACATACTTGGCATATAAGAATTCTTGAAACGTTCAGTATTCACCTTAATTGGATAAAATTCATTTTGATATCTTAAATTGTATTTATTATTATTACCAGGATGTCTATTTAATAGTAAGTTTTGGATCTTTGCGTGAGATTTTATCGATTTAGAAAAGAAGTTTTTACAGATGTTAGTTCTTCTTTCTTCGAGTGCTTCCAAGGATGATGTTCTCGTGCATCATTATAATTCAAGTATAGTGACTCCACATCAAATGCGATGCAGAGGAACAGCGGTAGAAAAGAACATTTCAACAGGACGAATTATTCAGGACCAAATTCACAGAATATTAAAGAAATTTGGAATCATTAGAAACTATAGTAACTGAAGCTAATAAAGAATATATGAAATATCAGAGATCGACAGACTTTTTAAGCTGCACTTGCACAAAATATATTTGAATCAACGAAATAAAAAGCTCCTGGAACTGATACAAAATGCCCGAAACTTGGACATGCAGACAAAACTTAGTCTTGCATGACCAATATGAAACCAGTACTGCAAAAAACAAGAGTGAGTAACATATTTTTCCATACCGATATATAGGTTTCAATAATTTTATGATTTAGCAATAAAAATAATTGAGTTAAAATATCTTACCTGTGTGTTTTGTCATTTCGAACGATTCTTCAGCCCATATCGAAAACTTTGATGTGGTTAAAAATTGCTTGCATCCCTTTGGTCAACGTCCGAAAGAAAAAAATCCAGTGATGACACATTATTTAGACATGTGTGTGAAATGAAACAAATTTTAATTTGATCACGTAAAAACGTCGAAATTCAACAAAATCAACAGATTTACAGTATCGCGAAGCTATTTTTCAATTCGCGAAAAGGCTCAGAGTAATTTTGAACGCAAGTTTTTCAATTTTTTAAAAATCTCCTCTTAATACTTGCATATATGTCAAATGAGTGTCATCCGCATACATACGAGCTTGAGAATGTGCAACACAATTAATATAGATTAAAAATAGGAGAAGGTTAAGTATAGTTTCCTGAGGAACTGCGCATAGATGTAAACGATTGATCGAAAAATGTCCATTTTGAAAACATTTTTGTTTACGTTGTTCTTTAAGACATGATCTAAACCAATTTCGCGCAACACCACCAATGCCATATCATACGGTGGTATTCGTGGTCTACGGCATCTACAGCATTTTAATTTCCATGGTCGATGTTATATAGGCCCATTCATTAGAACCCTCAAGAAGAACGGTAACCTGATCGTAAATTGATAACAGAACAATTAAAAATTTTCATTGTGCTTATCATCGGCATAGCGATTGAACTATATGCTATTTACCGCGCATGCCGCCAGTCAAAGAGTATTACAGCATATATATATATGTAAACCAGCGGTACCAAACGGCAGCCGAGTTTGTCTACTTACCAGCTAGATAAGCAATTATCAGTATAGGAAGCACCAGAAGAAATATGCGGTAAGCGGATATCATGTTAGCAAATAAATGGAGCTTCCGACAATGAGCTGTATACCGTATCAGGTGACCAAGCCCACTGTAACAGGTAACCAAGCCACAAACAACGGCGTCACAAACTTCACAAAAATTAGAATAGCTGTAAGGCAAATAAAAATTTTATTTGCAACGTAATGGAGCAATTACTGACACGCTTTTAAAAGCAAACGATTGTTAAAGCTCAGTGGAAGAAATTTTTGCATAAAGGCTGTTCAACCGTCATACAAAAGCGTTGCAAATTTTATTGTTTCCTTGTAGCTCAGTTGGTAGAGCATTGGAGTAGCAAACCCGGGTTCACCGCGGTTAAGCAAACTTTTCAGCTTGCCCGATGTGGACACACACAGAGTGGAAACATATATAGTAGAACTAGAAATACATGCATGCAACGACCCCTCGCCCTTATTTTCCAAACATTGTTCCAACATGAAGTATTTTTTGTTATGTCAACACTGAACGCATGCGCACGTTACACGTCATGTTAGTCATGGCAACACGATAATTGTTTTTAAACTTTTTGTACAAACCTGCAAAAATAAATGAAACTTGAACACTTTTAAATATAGAACTATCAATTTCTAAAATATATAACGTAAGTATATTATGTTGCTTTCCATGGGTTTTATGTTAATGTTAACTTGAGTATCAGGCCGTACTTTTTAGGGCACAGGCACGCCTGATCGCGGGCGAAGGGGAGAAAAGTACGGTCTGACACAAAAGCGGCATTTTGCCTGGTTATTCAGTCCAGAATCTGGACTGAGCGCTGATTGACCGATTAGACAAACGATTTTTTAAATCTGTCATTTGATTGGCTGGTGCTAATTAGATTATACTATTGTTGTTGATATATTTTATAACGATCACAACTACAATTATAGCCGGCCCACTAAACGGCTGAATTTAAATTAAAACTGCAGTAAAATTAGAAAACAATCGCAAATTAGCGAAATATATTGCAAATGTAGCTTATATTAAATCGCCATCAGATTGCACTATCGACTAACTGACGTATAGTTATATAATATACTTAATATATATATATATATATATATATATATATATATATATATATATATATATATATATATATATATATATATATATATATATATACTGTATATATATATATATATATATATATATATATATATATATATATATATATATATATATATATATATATATATATATATATATATATATATATATATATATATATATATATACTTTATAATTATACGTCAGTTTGTTGATAAATACGGCAAGCGCCATGTAAAGCTCATTGTAGTCACGGAAACGTCTGCGGAGGAGAGAGCAATCGGGTGGCGATTTAATATAAGCTACATTTGCAATATATTTCGCTAATTTGTGATTATTTTTGTTAATTTTATAAGTTCATTGCAGTTTTAATTTAAATTCAGCCGTTTAGTGGGCTGCCTATGCTATAATTAGATTGTTGTTGTCGTTGTGTGAAATTTAAATTTCTCCTGCAACATTTTGATTGGATACTAAATATAAACTTTGCTGTGGGCGGAAAGCGATCATGTTAAGTTTTGTGTCAGGCTCTATTTGTAAAATAGAGCCTGATACTCAGGTTATGTTAATGTAAAATTCAAAACGAAACTCTATGTATTATCTCATACCTAAGTTATTAGCAGCTTTCCTATTGGTTACGATTGCTGACGTACGTTTAGGAGGTGGGTTCGAGACATAGATATCTTATATACACTAGATAGTGCATCTAATTATTCTGCAATTCAAAAATTGAAGCCGTGATTGCAGTCTCAGGTCGTTCCCATGAAATGAGAAGATTCGTATGTTTTCTATTTCTTAAACAGGGAACTTAAACATTAAGCTAACCCTATTCGTAATACGTTTTTAAACTATTCAAATGATGAAAGTTATTGCTGTTTTTAAGCATTTATAAGCAAGTGGGAACGACCAACATGGCCGCCGTCTATTCAAATGGGGGTAACCGCTGGAATATTCTTGGCTTCAATTTTACTAAAAGAGATGCGCTATCTAGTGTATATAAGATATCTATGGTTCGAGATCGATGTTTCGGCGGCGGCCATTATGAAGCGATTTGAACAAATTTTCGACGAAGATTTAAAAAAAAAAAAAATTAAATGTTTTTAATTGATTTATAACTGTCTATTATTTTTTAATTTTTTTTTATGAAAATGGAATATTTAAATAAAAAATAAACGACGAAGATTTAAATAAAAAATAAATTAACTGTTTTTAATTGTTTTATAACTATTATTTTTTTTTATTTTTTTGATGAAAATGAAATATTAATTCTGTATTGAAAGTGTAAGAGAAGAAAAATGGCCTCCGAAATTTGTTCGGCACGGGCAGGTTTATATCAGAGGAGGAATCGTCACTATACCGTGATGCAATGCGGCGAAATTTTTTTCTCAATTGTGAATTTCGCGTGCGGTCGACGAAATAATTGGGAGTTTTCATCGAATTTTTTCTCGCTGAAAATCACGAAAGTTTCAAAGGTATTTATTAACAATATGTTCTTGAGTATTGAAATTTACTATATAAATATTTTTTGGTTTATTTGCATTCTCGTACCCAGAGCCCTTCTTACGGGGCTCTGGCCAAATCCATATTCCGAACTGGCATCTGATTGGCAAGTTCTATCACCGGATATTGTTTTCTTACCATGTTTTTATGGTATCCGGTTATGGATTTGGCCAGAGCACCTCGTCGCGCTCGGTCGAACGCGCGTAAGAAGGGCTCTGGGTATACGAGAATGGTTTATTTGATACTTTTGGGGCGAATAATTTGCATATGTTTTGACCTATTTTCCGGGTCACTGCACACGGCCGGAAATTGGCTTCAATACATGATGGGGTCGTTTATAGTTTAAAATAGAAAAGTCGAAAAAAATCGTACCGGTACATAGAAGAGAAGTTATTCTTTGAAATGATACCAAGAAATAAAAAACGACCAATCAAACCGAGAAGTTAATGGCCGGCTTTTCAAAATGGGGTATTGGTGCTTGATTTATTCAAACCAGATTCAAACTATGCGTAAACACGCGACATTCCGGTTACCACGCGAAATGGCGCGAAAACACAATGATATTCATTCATCATGCAATGGCCTGCAATCATTATTTTTCAGTTTTTATATATAGGAACATGAGTTCATACCCTTTATCAATTGTTCTTATCCATTTTCTATTATATTGATGAAGATTTAAAGAGACAATAGCTTGTTTAACTTTAAGACTGATATTTACAGTTTGTAGACGATCCTG